ATATCCAGCTCATCGAGTCATCTGCACAGATGAGGAAAAGTCTGCCATGCTGTTGGTTATGCGGGTGATGAGCATCGTTCCGATGACATTCAAGGTGGGTGAGACGTTTTCGGCAGCGAACAGACTCACGATTTCGTTAGCCTGTGCCGTGGTCAGCGCCTCTGTCGCGCGAGCTGCTTGTCTTCAATTCCTTCGTGCGCAGCCTGACCCGGGCCCTTCGCACATTGATCGAGGCGGGTGCTTGTTTGCGTTTATGCTTCCTTGAGTACTGACTCAGATGCAGGTGACTTCGTTGAACATGCTTCTGCGCCACGACGCACGGCGAGGTCGTGACGATCTGCTAGACATTTCGCTTAGCTTGCCATTCCAGACGGAGGCGAACACGGGCTTTGGAGTGCTTGGGAAAGTTTATCTGGATGCGCTGACGCACATCAACAATCGGACACGCGTTCGGGATCCAAATGCGCCCGGCGTCAAAGAGGCCAAGGTGCGCTTGTTGTGTGCTTGGTACTTTGATGGAGGACTCACGGGTGCTCGCCTAGGCGATGGCCTTGGAAATCTGTGAGGAAACGTTCCCGGGTGTGAAAAACCCCAAGTTGGAAGTAGAGCGTGGGTTCCGCTTCTGGGACGTGGTGAGTCGGCCTGTTCATTTTTCGTCTGGATGGGGTTGTCTTCTGGGCTGTGCTGTCTGAGGCGTGGGCGAGTTCTCAGGCGGAGATTCGTCGTGATCGCATGCGCGCTGTTTCTCAATGATTCATTGGCATCGGCGTTCTGCGGTGACTAGTATCTGACGACGGTGCGATGTCGGCTGAGGGGGTTTCCCGCACTGTGTCTGGCCGTCAGCGAGGCTGTGAGATGTGTAGATGGCAGCCACCAGTCGTCCATTGTGGGTGGCTGATTGCATAGTCCTGTAGAGGCTACTTTTCTTCGATGGGCGCGATAGAGTTCGAGGCTATAACTTGCTTGCTATCGGGCCTCGTTGTCTGTGGCTGTTGTTTCCCGTCTTTTCATTCAAAGGGATCGATTACTGTGGCTAACTTGCATGTTCCAGGCATTGACTGCTATGCGCCAATTGCACTCTGAAGGTGCCGTGCTTCGCGAGCTGATTGACCAATTTGAGGCTGCCGAAGCCTGGTTGGCGCCGATGCGTCCTTGAATGAGGGCCGGCTGTCCGTGGGATAAAATCTTCCTCCTTCACATTACGCGTTCGCTTTTATGTAGCTTTTTTGAGAAAATGTCACGCCCCATGCGCCATGTTCTCATCATGCGGCTGAGCAACGGGTAACCACATACTCACCACCGGAGCTTGCGGGCGCTATCCTGGGCCCGTGATTAACGCTACGACAAGCCAGGTGTCTCGAATCTAATCCAATCCATCGACTGGCCATCCCCTTGTGTCACAGCGTGGGATATCTGCGGGCCATACGGAGCGTCGCACGACCCAATGGAGAATTGTCCAGCTTAGGACCGCGTGGGAACGTATACCTTCCTATTTGGAACATTCCTTCTCAGGACTTTCCCTTCCCTTTTTGGGGTGGCGGGATCGGGCTCCGGATCGGACTATCGATCTCGGGACGTAGGGAGCGTTTGTTGCTTTGCTGCCACCACCACACTCGCGACCGTGTTACATATATAAGCCAGGATGTGCGCATGCGCAGACGATTGATTTCTCGGTTCTGCGGCTCCTTGCCCGTCACTGTGCCACCTCCCGCTCCTCTTCTCCGTTGTCGGTGCTGCTCTCAGGCTGTCGACGTCCTAGTTTCCCCTCCCCCCCTCAACTCGCATGCCGCATACTAAGCACCCACATATGAACGCTCTCGCATCCACATCCCGCTCGTCGTCCGACATGGGCGCCATGCTCTTAGACGTTGTCGTCAAGGCCAACCCGCAAGCGCTCCTCCCCACGCCCTTCACCAACAACAACCCCATAAGAGTCATTCAGCTCGTCGAGATTGCTGCCCCACCGCGCAGCCTGGTCCCTCCAACGACTGATTCGTCCGTCTACTCTAGTGAGGATTCAGACGATGACGAAGACGAGGAAGACTCTGTCGACGAGGAATCGTATTGCTCTTCCTCCCCTGGTGATGAGGAAGACGCGGAGGCTATGGAGGAGGAACGGCAGGAGGAGCTGACTATGCAGACTCGTATTCTTGCATGGCGTGCTCGGTTTGAGAAGGATGATACGCGTTCATCGTCGAGCGGGCGTTCAACGGGTATGTGTTCACCACTGCTTTGTGGTTCGGATACTAAACGTACGCGTCTACTACAGGAGGACGACTCAAACGTCCGGCATCCTCCGTGTGTTCGTCCTCGTCTTCGGTTCCCTCCAAGCGGTCGCGAACATCCATGTCGCCGTCGGTTTCGGTTTCGGTCTCGCCTGCGGCTTCCGCCGTCAACGCATGTACACCATCAGCCGCATCGCCCTCGTCATCACGGTTCCTTGCACCGCCATCACCCCTCGCGCGCCGCCACTCGTCTCCGCGACAGGCTAAGCCGTCGCCACTGGCATTCTCATTGACAGCCCATGTCGTCAATTCTCCGCCGGGCTCACCGGCAGCGGGCCACGTGCACCAACGCGCGCAGTCGTTGGTAGGGTCAGAGACGACATGCCCCGCATGCGACCGATGGTTCAGCAGTCGGGAGGCGTTTGAGCTGCATGCTTCGCTACGAATGGACAACTATGGGGCCGAAGCCTGCGGGGCCGCCGTGGCCTACGCGCAAGAACCCGCCGCCATGGATACATCCTCTCCGTTGCCCGCGTGACCGTCTCCGACCACGGCGACCACGACGACCACGACAATGACGACGACATGGTATCGTCTCTTTGTACCGCCTTGGGGGCGTCGGAACGTATATCTTAGGGGGGCTGATGTCTCCCGGAAAAGTCATTCTACAAGTTCTCTGCGATCATGATGGGGAGAGCGCCACATTGCGATGGGGCCCGGCTTGGGTTTCCGATGGGGCCCCCCCTTCGCGGTGGGAAATTTGGTCTACATACTTGCTGCTGAGCTAGGCGTCCGTGCGTCGGCTAGCGCTGGGTCCCTGGGCCGGTGTCCCGAACCTGAGCGCGATATCGCGCGTGCCTTGAACGCCTGTTTTCGTTGCGCTTTCACGTTCTTGTCTTTGTCCTTTTCTTTTCGCTTCGTGTCTTTGACGCATACATTTGGTTATTCCCACCGCATCTTGTATTACACACTGACCGCGCATTGCATTGGATCGTAGAGTATCTGCCGTCTACATAATCGAGCATCGCATACGCATACTTCTTACTACCTGTAATTTTAATAGCTACTGTAATGTCCAGAATGGCAATCGACGAGCGTGTGCTCCCCGAGGACATGGTCTGTTCTCCAGCGAACAGCGCCAACGATGTGCGAAATGCAGGCCGTCATCGCACCCTCGGTCCGCTGCCCCTCTCCCCGTGACCGCCCACGCCGCACCGCTGAACCTCCGAGGTTTCCCACCCGAGAGCATGCGCCCAGAGGAATACGAGCAAAAGAAGCTTGCGGACCGGGCGTTCTTCTCGAGTGCGGCTGGTCAGCGTCGGCATTCAAGCGAGTAAACAGACCGAGATGCCTTCTCGCAACCCAGATAAGCTGACGTGTTGCGTGCAAATGGGGAGTCTGATCTGGGTTTCCCACGCAGATGGCGGTAGATAGGTAATTGCGAAAAGAGGAGGAGCACGAACACCACCTTGTTGGGCCTTGGCCCGCATGATCTTGGGAGGCTCGGATACTGGGTGACAGAGTTCTGATTTCCAGGGAATTAGAGTTGTGTGGGACTGGCTTGGGCTCTGATGCAGAGGCACTAATTCATGATAAAACGGGGGCGATCAAGCACAAGTGCAGTACATATGTGCGCTCCAATCTGGAACCCGGCACGACGCCGACGCCACGGAAGTTCGACCTACTTACTGGGAGAAGGTTCGCGGAACGATTCCGCCCGTGAGAACGTCCGATAGCCACTCATATTGAAGCTCCGCCGTGGCTAGAGCCTGGAGCCCTTCTGGCGGCTAGAATTTTCACCGGTGGCCCTTGTGGGAGGCAGGTTGGAGCCAATTGCGAAGCATTTCACGCTCGCTTTGCGTGGCTCATTGAATACAAATGTGCTCGGAGAGCGTGCGCACTGGTTGCACCACGGTTTCTGATTCTCATCTCCGCGTTGAAGCGCCAGCTTTTCGCAGGCCACAAAAAGGAAATGCATTTCCGTTGAGACTTGAGCGACCGCACCCTAAGCACTGAGAGTTCAGCGACCGCCGTCATCTCTCAGGTGCGATGCACTTCCAATGAGCATCATCGGGGTGTCAAAGTCAATCACTCAGTGATTACCGATCATTTTCAGAGGGGTGACCGAGATTCCGAGACAAGCGATGGTCTGAGACTCTTACCCTTGCTCGCACCACAAGAAAAGTATACCGACAAGCTAGACGTGTCCACATGCGCTGACTCACTGGGCCACGATCACATCGGACCATTGAGAGTGTCGCACTCACAGTGCCCACTGACCAGTTGGCTCTAAAGTCCTAACGCCCCCTCTTCACTTCCCACTCTTGGCGCACGGTGATTCTTATACAGCCGGACTGAGAGCTGGTACACGTTCCAGGACAGCATCATTCCGGATGCATATGGACGGCGCTGAGAAAGGCATGGCTGGCCGGATCTTCCACGCAAATGATCTCCCACCAACCGTCGTAACGGACGTGGGTGTGTGCGACTGCGCCTGACTGCGCTCGCATTCGGCTCGCATTCAAGCGGAGAATTGGCGGCTGAATGTCGAGGGAACGCGCGCCGGCCCGGCGTAAGTGGCGACGCGGTTTCGCATGCTCCTGGGACGAGCCTTGCATTGGCCAAGAGACTCACAGAGTGTGCGAATAAAGTATGTAGCGAGCCCAAGCCGACTTTTATCTATCAGCAGATGTGACGTGTTTCAAGGCTGCGTTCATTCATTGCGACCTAAGGATAGTTCGTGGTACCATCTATCTGACCGTGGGTTTTCGCTATGTCACTTGATCTTTACTATGCTCTCAGCGGCCGGATGAGGCTCAATTAAGAACTCAGGTCGAATCAACGCACGATTCACCCTGTGTCCGGTCCCGAAACGACCCCGTGTTCGCTGGCCAAGTCCGTCATTCAAGGCATGCTCGCGTCCTATGTCATTCAGTGGTTCTCCCTCGCTGACAGGAGAAGAATGATTAGAGGGGGGATGTGATCCGGACACATTTATGGACGCGGACCGGGGGCAAATAGCTCCTGGAGCCAAAGAATCTCGCCATCTGGCACTACACCCGGAGGTTGGAGAACTCATCACAAGCATGTCTGTCTGTCTGTCTCCGCTCACTTGGCTCTGTAGATGACAACCTGATTCTCTTGTTTCTCTCCAAGCCTGTTGCCCAGAAAACCCAGAATAGCACAAGTCTAGGCCCGCACTCGTCGCCAGTCTCATTTTTACCACCCACTGCTTCTGCCATCTACCGGCATTCTTGTACGTTGCCTGTTTCGGACGGGACAGACAGATCTTGGACCGGATAGTACGAAACGGGCTCGCTGAGGTGAAAAATAACTTGCCTGATGACTATCGAGTGCGCTGTTCCTCCCAAGTGCCGACGGCTGAGCGTATCTGGTAATTTCAACTCGCATCACATGATTCAACTTCAACTTCTGACATCAGCCCTGCATAGGCCATCTCCCCGTCCGCCGGCCCGAGTGTTTTTCTTCCTCTTAATAGCTTCGGACCCTGCACGCCATATCAGCAGACCCGATAAACGCGATTAGCAGCCATACCGTGCGATTTTCTGCGTAGCTTGTGTTTTTCTGTTTTTATTGTTGTTCCCACTCCCCACGCTCTTGGCCTGGGCGCTGTTGGTGATCTCCCTAGGTATCCCCGCAGCAGCTAGGGACAGATCACGAGCTATGATGGATTTGGCTGGGTGAAAAGATTTGCCCTGGACCTTGATGGCGCGCACATGTCAGTCTGTCGCGGAACTTTAAGGTGAAAGACTTGGAGGCGACACAAGATGAATGAGGAAGTGAATGACTTGGGCTTGGGCTTGGGAGCCAGTCCATACGCTGGGCTTAGTATGGTTGTCACTGAAGCTTTAGCACTAATCAATCCAATCTTGTGCCTTCGCTGGGATCCATTTCTCTCATTGTGCTCAACTTTCGTCTCTGCTTCGGTGGTATTAGAGGGATCAAGTTCATCCGGGGAAAATGAGGCAGCAACTCGGTCTTCGAGTGTTCAAGTCTTCTTCCCTTGTCCTATCTTACTTGGGGTCACGTGGATCATCCGCGGCTCCCTCAGTTCTAAGTTAGCATTACGTTATAAGAGATTACATCAACAGCACGACAGAGGATCTAATCGATATCGAAGAACAGAACTTCCGCTGTCTTTTCGCCAATGTTCTCGACCAGCACCTCTGGGCCTGGTTTGTCGATGTACAGGTACGCGCCATCGCCTTCCCTCAGATCGACCTCTTTACCTGGCGTGGTCACAATCCGGATGGCAGACCCCTTCGAGACCCCGGTATTGTATCCACTCGTCTGCACGACATGGATGTACCCTTTCGACCCCGCCACGGCCAGCTTCAAGCTCTTCTGGTCGGAGAGCAGCGTCGCATATAACGTCAGCGCACTCTGCACGGGGGCAGGCCCGGCGCCCTCCCGGCTGTCCTTCAGCACCCCCTCCGCATCAACGGGAGCGACGATGCGCGCCCACTGGTCGCGTTTGTCAGCGTCGGAGAAGTGGCGCGTGAAGTACTTGGGCGTGAGCCGCGACACAGTGGGCAGGGACCAGATTTGGAGGAAGTGGACGGGCTTGGAACCGTACGTCTTCTCGGAGTGGGAGATGCCCGTTCCTGCGGACGTCAGCTGCAGGTCGCCGCGTTTGAGGATCTCGGTGTTGCCCATCGAGTCTTTGCTGAGTGCCGGTCGGTTCTCGTCATCAAGATACGGAGGGGGCGGGATGACGTACTGCTCGAGCTGCCCAGCCACCAGATATGAGAAGATCTCGAACTCCCGGTGCGAGTGTGTGCCGAACCCCTGGCGAGGGGCGACGCGGTCCTCGTTGATGACGCGAAGAGCACCAAACTGGGAGTGCGATTGGTCCTGATAGCTGTCGGACGCCCCAGTAAGTGAGTGAGAATGCACACGACTATCGCGGAGCAACTCACGAGGCAAAGGAGAATGTGTGGAAAGTCTTCAGCCAGCCGTGATCAGCATGGCCGCGCTCTTGACTGGGACGAGGGACGATCTTGATGCCCATTTCAGTATCGAAAACAGGAGTCGAAATGACGGTTTCTGTGACAGTTGTTTGCGTCGACAGACGGCGGAAATTGGCGTTGGCAAGCTTCAAGAGTGAAGACAGTGTGTCTGAGTCGGCGAGGGTGGGGATTGGAATGAGGTTGAGATAGAGCGCGAGGCTTATATAGATTGGGATGAGGGCGATGAGAATGGAGAGACTGGGTTTGGGCAGCATGACGAAGGCATCGTAATGAGCGTTTTTTAAAGGGAGTCAGCGATACCCGGACTTGCCTTTTTGAGCAACAACTCTTACACGCCTGATCAAGAAGGTGTGTCAACGATGGCCTGTAAGCAGTAGTGCGTCACGTGGGCACATCGCTTTGTGTCTCAATTACTGGCTTGCTGTATCCAATTTGGATCACGTATTTGAATTATAAATGAATCGAGAAAAAATGTAGTCGATCTGTATTGTGCATCTGCTAGACATCTTGAACATCCAAGCTTGAACATCCAAGGGACTAGCAGTCTGCCTTCAGTGTGTAAGCAAAGCTTTCGCTTGACTGGATTTCGAGGTGTGCTTGCTCATCATATTTCGAATGATAGCTCCAACTCTCCTGCAAGAAAGGGGCAATCAGCTGGTTGAAACTAGGATGAGGTAGCTGTTACTCACGAGTTCGAGAATGCGCAGCATGTGGTTGCGGCTGTCTCCCTTTAAAATCCGGATCTCCTCCTCGAGCGCGGCCATTCTCAGGTAGGCAGCAAAAAAAGTGAATAGGATGAGAGAAAGAATGAGTGCAGTGGGGATCATGGCTCGACTGCAACGATAGACGGGTGTTTCCTTGGTTCACATGCACGGCAGTGGTAAATACTTATAGTGAATTTTTGTTCAGTCAAAGCGTGCTATACTGTGTCCAAGCGTCATGCGCTTGGGAAATGGCTGTGATATCACTCGGGGCTTGATCATGCAGGCAACCACGCTTGCTTTGGTCAGAGCGCAAACAAAGCGCGTGCAGCAAATCGTCGAACTGGCTATTTTGATGACATCATGTGGCTGTTCATCGTCCATCATCTCCCTCTTGCTTACTCCTTCATCTGGGCCATGAGCTCGTCGTTGCCACCAATACCGCACTGCTTTGGAATGCAGGAGCACCCAGAAGCTTCTCTTGAGCGGTCGAAACTCTCCTCGCTTATCGATAGTCCCGGAGATCCGCTTTCGACGCACCTCACACTAGGGTTCGCCTCCCGTATACCTGTTTTTTACCTATGCGAACGCTTCTTCTTCGCCTCGCTTCTCTTCTGCACCCTCAAAGCTTAGCATACACGGTTGGCTCGGCCCTCGGATCCACCCCACCGTCCATAGACGCTTGCCTTGCAGCATTCACCGTCCCCAATTCCGTGGGACTGACGACAGGTGCTCGCGCATGGTCGAAGCACGCACACCGGGCCTCAGCTCCTCCAAGCCCCGCACCCACATCGTCTCCCACTCCCTCGAATGGCCCCGAACGCGCATCAACGGCGAAATCCGCGCCGCCGCCATCGGGGTGGTGGGGCACCGCTGCCGGCCCCGTCGCCGTGCAGAACGAGAGGGCCGTGACGCTGTTCTGGCGCGTCATGGACAATGCGACGTGGCGCAATCTGCACTGGCTCCCGCACCAAGTGCTTGTGTACGAGGTGCGCGTCGCGGAGGGGTACGGCATGCGCTGGTCGCAGGATCGGAGCCTGCTCGAGGACTCGGAAGGTGCCGGACCTTCGCAGCCGGATCCGGATTGGATTTTTCGTGGATTCGTCGAGCCGATGATGGATGGCGGGCACCAAGTCCGGTGGAGGCATTAATTGCTGTGAGTCAAAGCCTAACTAAAAAGTCTGTCCGTGTAACATAACATAATCTACCCAAAGAACTCGCCCGCGACGAATTCCCACACCCTTTCGGGGTTGTTGAACATCTCTTTTGTGTATTGGTACCCCTTTGTCCCTTGCTCCCACACAAATTCCAAGATCTTGTCCTCGGTCTCATCCTCATACGGGATCGCGTTTCGGAAATTGAGGGTGAGGGACGCACTCACAGGGAGCGCCTGCGGGGCGGCTGGGTCATCTGCTAAATCCGCTGTATCTAGCTCGGAGAGGATGTCATCCAGCGACGTGATCTCGGACCCCTTGATGCCTCCGTCGAACTCAAATTTCTCGGCCTGCGCGCCAAAGACGGCAGAGCGGACGCCGTGTTTCTGGAAGAGGTAGCTGGTGAAGATCGAGCATGTCGATGCACAGATGCCGTTTGAGACGATCACGTAGTCGCCGTCCGCGAATGGGGGCTCGTCAAACGTCTTCGCGATGGAATCGAAGTTGTCCAAGATGGGGTGCGAGTATGCGTCTGGGATGCCGTTGACGATTTGCTTTACGGGGGGATCCATGAACTGCGCATTGGACGTGAGCCGCTCGTTTCGCCCCGACAGGTAGTTTCCGAAAAAGTACTCCGAATCTGAGTTGTTCTGCTCCGAAGCACACTCTGCCTCCCGCCTGATCAAGTCGCTCACTCGAAACACCGCAGGGAATCCCGGGTACCGGTCTTTGGGCCACAGCGTCCGCAATGCGAGGGCGCCCGTAGAGATGAAGCCGCCGCGATTGCCAGACACGTCGAGCAAGATGTGTCTGACGCCTGCCTTCTTCAGCTCCACCAGTCCGCTGTGGATCGTTTTTGAAATCCCATCAGAGTACGTTTGGTAATCGTGCTGTGCGGGCGGCTCAAATTGCTCGAGATAGACAACACCCACATGCTTGTGCTCCTGCAATTGGTAGATGTCGAGCGTGAGGAAATGGCCGAACGATGTGACTGCGAGATCTGGTGAGCATCTTCTATCCCCCTGCACCTCAATCTGCGCTGCAGCTTACGGTTGGGCTGGACGTAGTTTGGGTGGACAGGCGTGTGCTGTTTTGTGCGGATCTCTGCTTGCGTGTCTGGTGCGACCACCGCCTTCCTGCGTTGGTATCTCGACGGCTGTCGCAAAAGCCCGCGGCGACGGGTTTCTCCCGAGATGTCGCTGCAGAACGACAGATCTGCGCCAACGAAACTCGCAGCCCAAGGCACTGTCAGCAGCTGGCTTGTGCCGTTGGCCAGCAGGACCTCCACGGTTACGGAGTCCGAGCCGGGGTAGAACATCCTCTGCGCAAACTTGCCGAGCTCCTGCGTGAACAGTCCAGAATCGGTGTCCGCCGAGTATCGAGACATCAGGCGCATGTACCTCGGATCCAGCGTCTCGTAGGCGCCTTGCAGCCCGTCGTAGATACTCGAGTTCGCCGCGAGATCAAGCAGATACGGGCCCGCTTCGACGCCGTCAATCGACAGGATGCGCGCGCCGTCGAATTCCCGCACAGACACATTCAGGCCCTGGAAGTACTCCTCCAGCCCCGACCGGTTTTGGTTCGGAAAGTCGTAGTTGGCGAGGAAGACGGGATATGTAGTCTGGTTGGAGGGGCTGTCCGCTAGGGACGCAATCGAGAAGGGCAGGTTCCAGCTGAAAGATTGGGTGCACGAAGCCACGAAACTCGTGTGTCCGTCCTGCTCGCGATTGAAAGCCTCTGACACCTATTTTGGAATCAGCCATCAAAGGCTCCCTGGGCGTGATGTAGGATGGACCCACGGCAATGTTGAAATCCCAGTCTGTCTGGTATCCAGCCATTCCGCCTTGGGCGGCCGTGTGCTGGACGTCTGCGCGTCTCTCAGAACGTCATACTCGATGCACCAATGCATGTGATTGCGCGCTGACCTTGCAACAACGAGCGGAGATCCACGGCATGTGGAATGAGCGGATTCGGGGAGCGCTCGAACCACGTCTCAAGCGAATAGTACGGCAGGGCTTTCAGCACCGAGTCCATGACCGCCAGACTGCGGGTCTGATTGAACGGCACGCTAAGCTCGCAGGCATGGGCGATGCTGCTCGACACCCAGGTCGCCGTGGTGGCCAGCGTGCACGGATCTCTATGGTATCCGGAGTGTCAGATCTCGGCTCAGGCAGAATGCACTATCCGCGCACGATGCTTTGGCCGCTGGTGCAGCGGCGGCGGCGACTAGTACGAGGAGCGAGAACAGGCCCATGCTGTGCAAGCCCTGCGAGCAGCTGGAAGTAAGTATATGTACTAAATTTCAGGGAAGGCGCGGTTCGCGAATCCCCAACCCAAACACTAAAACGCTTGAGCACGTAATCACACTCCCAAGTGCAGGATGTTCTGCGGTTCTGGGCTTGGTTCCTGCGGCATTTCTGCGCGCCTGACAAACTTTGCGTCCGGAAACGAAAGGACGGCGCTGCTTCGACGCAGGGACTGATTCCGAAAACAGGACGCTGAAGTGGGATGCAGTTAAATTACAGTGCCCGAGTCCCAGAAGCCCAAAACAGAGACGAGGAGAGATAGACATTACTGGCGAGCTGTATGCTTGGATAATACGTATATATTGATCTAAGTCACATCCAGTGTCAAGAGATCTAGTGGGAAACCAAGGCTCTAGCATTATAGATAACAGTCAGTATGAGGGGTCAACGTGGCAGGCTGTCACGCGCGCACCAGCCGAGAGCTGGCCCGCGCCTGGACGGGGGACATCGCCCGGCCTCCGGTGGCCGTCAGGGGAGAAACAGGCCGGCACGACGGAGAGCCGGGACGGGTCAGGATGGGCGATAACGGGCGGTTGATAAGCGCCAGACGGGGAGACGTTGGCGGCTCCTGAGGCAGACTGGTCTTGGCTATCGATATCGGAGGGGGCGGCTTCGAGGCGATAGGTATTGTCGGGGGTGGCAGGGGTGTCATAGCCGGCGGCGACACGCTCAGCTCGGCCTCCGAATCCGTCTCGCTTTCGTCCTCCTCAATCTCGATCTCCATGTCATTAATGACCATGACGCTCGTCTTCTTTCTCCGTCCCTTCGTCTTCGAGGGACCGGCGACGGCACCGGCACTGGCAGCGCCCACCAGTGCCTCTTTTCTGCCGTTCTCCAGCATGCCCTTGTGGTCCTTTTTGTAGTCGTACGCACTGGATCCGAACGGCGGAGAGTACGCAGCGGACTCTGCGGCGCGGTAGGCAGACTCATAGTTGTAATTGCCGTGCACGGCAGTCCCCGAATTGGGGATCAGCTGGCGTGAGGCGGGGGATGGAAAGACACGATCTGGCTCGCCGTCGGCGGCGGAGCGGGCGGGCGTGTACGACGGGGACGACGGGACTGACGGTGGATAGTTGTACGGAGAGGGAGGCTCGAACGTCGGCGAAGCCGGTCCCAAAACGGGGAGGAACGTAAAGTTCTTAATCGGGCGCACGGGAACGGGGGCGGGTGGTCGGAGATGAGAGAGCGCGGGAGAGGCGAGACGTGTCACGGAGGGCGAGCGTGCGCGGCCGGGAGGCATGAAAAATGGTGGGGGTGCTGGCCCTGGAGGGAAAGATTGAGGTGGCGGCGAGGCCACTGGTGTGGAGGGCGGTGACATGGGAGTGTTGTCGGGCGATGCGAGTGGGAGCAGTCCGATAGGGACATGAGATAAGAGCTCTCTCTTGCGTATGCCGAAGGGATTCATAGCGGTGGGCAGCGAGGAACGGATTTCCTCAAGCTCCATTAATTCTCTGCGAGGCTCAGGTCAAATCAAAGGATGATCAGGTGCGAGTGGCAAACGCACTGGAATGTGAGTTTCTTCGCCGGTGCCGTGGGCGTTCTGTCCCACTCATCGGCCCAATGTATCTCCTCTGAACCTTCACCACCGAATGCGACACATTTGCGATAGCCGGGTACGGGTGATCCCGGCTGAGAAGGGGCTCGTAGACAGCTTTTCATGATGGGGAAGGTTGATAGATGCGGTCGCGGTCCCTGGTATTTGAAGATGTGAGGGCCTGGCTGTCCCTGGGATCCAGTCGCGGTCCTTGGAGTCTGGGGCTAGAGCACACGCCCAAGCCGAGCTGCAAGAACGGGTTAAGACGGGACGGACAGCAAGCCGGTTGCAAGCTTGTCGTTCGAGACCGAGTCTGGCGTCTCCGGCGATGAGACGACGACGGCGAGTGAGATGGTGGAGGGTGGAAGAGATGAGTCAAGTTCCGTCTAGCGAGCTCTTTACGTATGTGCCTGCATTTTTCTGGGGGGTGGTTGTGATCGCGGACACCCGACTTGATCCGCCCCGCACTCCCTATTGGCTCAAAATGGTCGCGTGCCGTTCATTTCGTCGCTTTGCGCAGCCTCGCGCGCCTTGCACACCATTTTAGCCACACGCAGCATTCTTGCTGTGTCTGCCGATCGGCCAAACTCGCACTTTTCCACATTCATGGCCAAAGTCCCTCCCTCCGTGCCGGTCGGAGGATGCCCGAAAAGGAGTGATGGTTTCGGCCGAAGCATCTTGGCTCCGTTCTCCGTGGAGCTGCTGGCTGTGACAGGGTTATGAGGAAAGCAAGCGGTCATGGAGAGTCTCCCAGTCGTTCAGCTGACATCAAGGGAAGGTCTTGCAGGTGCGGGCCTCCATCCCGCACCGAAGGCCGAATGAAATCACCCCTGCACAGGGCTGGACAAGGGACATCTCTTACTAGTCCTGCTTCTCGGGGAACTTACCCCAGCTTACCCCGCGCAGTCCGAATTCCATCTTTTCCAGGTCCCTTCGGATCCTCGATCTTCTCCGACATGTCAATCTATGCGGCACCTTCTCCGACACCAACCACTGGCAGTTGCCGCTATGTTACCAAAGATTACTGGATCTTAGCGCTCTGATACTCTGCATGCTCCGGGATATGAGAACGGTGCAAGGGCCGATCTGGGTCTCATCCGTCCGCCCAGGTGGCTGATCGACTTCTGCAGTGTGAAGACAGCAACACGAACTAGGGAGAAAAATTCCATGCGGAAAAGAAGCAGTGGATAGATCGCGGATCGTTCAATGCCGTCTGATAGGGCACGTGGGAAACTGTATTTCCTCGTTCTACCTCAATGCTAATCCTCCCTTTGTGCTCTGTCGATCGCAGACCGATGAAAATCGACGGGGAAAAGGTGGGTTTGAGCTCGCACAGTTCCAGGCTTTTCTCGTCTGGCGAACAAGGCCACGATCGCCACATTCTACAACCACCTGACTCGGAAAAGGCAATCGAGCGTCAATTGCCAAGCCTGCTTGCTACAATGCCTACTTGGTTACTACGCCGACTTATCACTGTGAGAAATCATGGCTGGCAACATATCCAAAAGCATAAAACAACGTGTCTGTGAGATGGCATCTCCACGCTGGCCCCCCGAATCAAAATGCTTAGGCTGCTGCCCATTCTCGCTCTCTTCTTGGCTTTCTCTTCCGGAATCGTGTTCGCAGCCGTAAGTCGTGCTTTCCAGCTTCCGCGCTCCAGTTGACCATGGCTCCACTGAAGACGAACGATGCTCCCACGGCGCGGTCGCATAATCCGGTCCACAGGACGACCACACCGCACACGATGCAGCTGGTGCAAGTCACCACCCCGGTGCCCTATGACGAAGTCACCGCGCGGCTGTACGGGCTTCTGGGCCCGTTGAATTCAGGAAAAGTTCTTCCTGGTGCGACATCTGTGGCAGATCTCGAAGCAAGAGTGGCGTCAGTCGTCGGTTCCAGTGACTTCATGTGCGATTGGGTTTCTCTCCACCGGAAACCGCGCGGGGCTGCTGAACCGCGTTCCACCACCCTACAGGCATTTCGTCGAGTACAACCACGGCAGCTGGTTCCAGCTGTACAACGCAAACCCCACCCCACGGTTCAAGGTCTATGTCATCGGCAATCCTCTCGTCGCTGAAACGATGGTCAAATTCGACCTCCGTGCGGCATACAACGTACCGTTCCGCCTCATGATTCTGGAGAACGGAAACGCAACAAAGATTGTGCACCAGCTTCCTTCTTCCGTCATCGATCTGTCCGGGCCGGAGGACATGCGGTCTGCGGCTGCAAGTCTGGACCAGAAACTGGAGGCGCTCGTGGATAAAATGGCGGCCGTCGTGTGATTGGATGATAGATGTACCGCGGCGATGCCTTTGTGGTTCTTTCTCATGTTGGCTGTGGTATCGTATTTTTTGATCGTGCATGAGTAACTCGACAAGCTGTTGAAATATCGAGCTTGGCACTGCTTACAATTCTACAACAGCTTCGATTACAGGTTGTTCTTGCGTTTCACATGGATTTAGAGCTGCGTTCTTTGTTCGAGACTCCCCCTGCTAGCAAAGGGCTAGCGTACTCTGTGAGATTTCCCACCAAGTCAGAGATGACCAAGAGGGACGGCAAGTGATGAGCTGCTGAGCCATTTCTCTCCATCCGAGTCTAGAAGGTGAAGCTCGTTTTACGCGAGGTGACGCCATTTGCCCGATTTTTTCGTCGTCTTTGTAATGTTTTCATCTCAATAACGCCTCCAGAGTCATAGGCCTGCAAGCTTTTCGGTTATCGTTCGCTGAGCGATCCGAAGCGCACCCGTGTGACGCACGTGATCGGCAATCACTGTTGATCTGTCATCTGAGAGCACCCCGGTCTGGTATGAGCCCGTATGTCGCAGCTCCAGGTTTCGGCACGCGGACGATCTCGCTGATACAAATTTCACTGCAGCGAATGCGCAAGGATGAACAGTCTGTGCGTCTTCGGCTTGTGGCGGCTAACTCGTCCCCCGTGCCGGATGTGAGTCGTGGGACATTGGCCAACCGTATTTCCTCATAGTACCGACTGCTGGGTCTGCAGCGCACTGCGCCGAGGCTACTTCGTACGTCAATTTCAAAAGTGGGCTGAAAATTTCTCAGTGGGACCGTTTCCAGCCTGAATACCTCCCCTCTTCCTTCACGCGAAGGACTTCGAGATGCGGCAGCCAATATGTTGCAGACTTCCATCTCACGACGAAGACTCTGGAACACAATCACTCATCATGATGCACAGGGAAACTTGGTTGTCATGCCGCTTCGATAGAACTCTCCCTCCAGATCCGTTCTGCATACTTGTCATGGTTGATTCTTAGGGAACACCGCCCGCCACCGGTTCATGGAGATTCTGCTGTTCCTAGAAGCTCCACGTTTCAGTTTCAGCCTCTGGACCGTATCGCGACAGAATCAGGGAGTGAAACCGACACACTATCTTACGACGCAGGCCGATCGCGCTCTTCTCCACCACTGCGATGTGCTTCTGCACCAGTTCTTGCAGCGCGAAGCTAGAAACAAGAAAGGTAGAATAGCTGCCACATGGAAGAGAAGGTTCGAGTGGATAGATCCTTGATCGTTTGCTGCTCAATACCCACAGACACTCGCGTGCGTTTCGAGACGGCATTCCCTATGTCCCACGTCTCTTTTTGCACTCTTTGGATTATGCATGGCTTCAAAACCGGTACGAGCCCTCTCCAAACTATCGCGAAGACTTGTTTACGTCTCAATTCATCTACCAGCCAGCACCAATCGAGTGGAATCACGGTCGAGCGTCGTCGACTGGTCTGCCGTTTGGCGAGCAAGTACAGTACATGATTGCCGAAGCCATGTGCTTTGCCAAGGCTGCTGCCTTCAGCACCGATTGGCGGATACAGGACTCCTAGACTCTGCCAGCCAAGGCTAGACTGACTTCTCACCGGGATAGTGCATTGCCGCAGAAGCTGTTTTCCCTGGTCGTAACGAATAAAGGCAAGCGCGTCTGAGGAGGGGGGCATCTCCAAGCCGGCCCATCGAACCCAGGATGTTTAAGCTCCTCTCGATCCCAGCTCGCCTTGCTGTCATCTTCACTTTCTGTTCTTTAACCGCCTGCGCGATCGTCGGTAACGTTCCGCTGCAGCTGAGGTCGCTACGCTCACTTTCGTTTGTTTTCCGCTGCAGGGAAAGGGTGCTCCGACATCGCTGTCACATAACGTTGTCCACAGGACAATCACGCCGCACACGATGCAGCTGGTTCAAGTTACGACGCCGGTGCCTTACGATGAAGTCACCTCGCGTCTGTACGCGCTTCTGGGCCCTTTGAACTCCGCCGACGTTCTTCTGGGCGCAACGTCTGTGGCCGATCTACAGGCAAGAGTCGGGGCCGTGCTCGGCTCCAGTGGTTTCATGTACGGGTTTCATCTTTCCTTCGGACGAAGGGGCTGTCGCTGAACCGCGCGCGGTCCAGGCACTTCATCGAATTCGACCACGGCGCGTGGCATCAGCTTTTCTACTCGACCCCTACCCCGCGATTCAAGATCTACGTCATCGGGAATCCGTTCATCGCCGAAACGATGGTCCAATATGATCTCCGTGCAGGCTATAATGTGCCGCCGCGCCTGATGATCTTGGAGGACGGCAACGGCACGAAGATCGTGCACCACCTCCTGTCCTCCGTCATTGATATGTCGGGGCCGGCCAGCCTGATGACTGCCGCAATGGTTTTGGACGCAAAGTTCGAGGCGGTCGTGAACAACATAACAGCTGCCCTGTGATATAACAGGGCGCCGATGGTGGTTCTTTCGGTTAGAGATTCTTTTTCCTGGATGTCGGTCCTGGTATCAGGAATCCTGATGTGTTCCCGCTATCTACCGCACATTCCAGTCGCGCTCTAATTCAACACATTGATATTTCGTATCTTCCCTCTTCTCACAGCTGGAGATCGGCAATCTGAAGCCCTATGCATGTGCTCGGGCGGGGTCTGAATGCCACGATCGACAACTTGAAGATTCCGACAGCTGTGTTCCCAAGCCGATATCATTCCCAAATGTGAGGCAGCGGGCCGTGAGCATGGTGCGCAGCTGCAACAACAATCGCTGCTCTTGCTTTCTCGAAATTCTTAAGCTGTGCATGTCAAGGGAATGGCCGCGATTCTACTTTGTACTCAACTGGGCAAGTTGGGGATTGGATTCGTCTCAAGTTTTCCTAAAGATTTGATCTATTGCGTCTGTCGGTAATACATATAGATGATGATCTATCTATCTGTGATCGTGATCCGGTGATTTTCGGAACCAACTGCGGTTCAACTTCTGTGCCTAATGATAGTAGTTGGTCGCGATGCCCTTCACACCAGCCCAAGCCTCGTCCAAAGCATCGACAACTTCTTCAGCTGAAAAATACATCAAAATGTGCTTTCACAGCCATCCGAGCCACGTACGCAGGGGTCCTTTTTCAAACTCGTTCAGATTCTATGGCGCGTTTGAAAGTCAGAGATAGGATTCAGATAATCTTCGTGGGATGGGCACCTGTTCGATGTGGGCGACGCTTGAAGCCCCAATCAGGACTGCATCGCCAAATTCACGCTTCATCAGAGAATGATGCATCGTCCAGCGCAAAGCGACTTCAATCATCGTCAGGCCGTGTTTGTCGGCAGCCGCAGAGACTTTGTTCAAGCCATCGAAGTAAGCCTGCTGCCAGTATCGCTTGCGGAGCTGCTAGGGTCAAGCACGGAATACATGGCCAGTTTGATAGATGAGACTTACAACGTTGGCACGGCCTGTATCCTGAAAGCGGGAGTCACTCCCCGCTTCGTCGGTGATTTTTGAGAAGCCGCCGGTGAAGAATCCGCCGGCGACCGGATTGAATCCATAGAATGCCATCCCGAACTTACGCAGGCACGGGAACAGCTCGGGCTCCACGGCGCGGTGGACCGCGTTGTACAGGCCCTGATACACAGAGGGCTTGATCCAGCCATTCCGCTCACAGATGGCACAGATTTCAGCCACCTCCCATGACATGTAGTTGCTGATACCGAACCGCTTGAACTTGCCCTCCTTGTAGAGCTCGTTGACAGTGCGCAATGTATCTTCGAATGGGTTCTTGCGGTCGGGACCGTGGAGGTACCACATCTCAAGCGTACTATTCGGAGTGAGTGAAAGCTATAGAGTCTCAGAAAAGAGCGCTTACTCTGTCTTGAGAGCGTCGAGGGACATCTGACAGAACTTTCGAATGCTCGCCGGCGAATGATCACCGATGAAGCTCTGCTCAGGCTGGTCCTGTCAGCATTGAATTCATGCATAGGACGATATTTTGACGAACTGAAACGGGGTAGAGCTTCGTCTCCATCAGCACCCCCTTGCTCTTCCAGTCGATCTGCCCGAGACATTCCTCGTTCGTGCCACTGCCGTATCCGCGTGCGGCGTCCAGCTGCGCGCATACTCGTTAGAAAACAACGAAAAGCTAGTCTGGAGAACGCACCTCGCGATGGCCATGGCTGAGAAAAACATCGACGATCGCCTCGATATCTTTGGGATCTGAGACACGCGCCATGGGCGTCCCCGGCGCCGCAAATGACATGGTGCCCTGCGTGAAGTAGATCAGAGATGGGGTTGGACCACAGTCTCAATGCTGCGCACCAAGACCACATTGACAGCGGTTTTTTGGCCCGGATAAGGAGTAGTCATTGTTGAGAGTCGGGGGAGTGTAGATGTGGAGGGACGGATGGGATAGCATACTGTGCTGGGCAGCAAATTTATAGGAGGGCGTAATGTAGTCCGATAGTGGCCGTGATCCCCGAAAAAGAAGAGTCAAGAGGTCCCGACGCCACCAGCTGTCATTGGAGAGCACCTGGCAGTACGAAGGACTGCTCGGAGATGAAACAGGCCCGGATAAGCACCCGCGGATGCTCATCCGAGAAATTTGATCCGGCTTGATGCACGGTGTTGTTCTCTCTAACACACAGGTAAATCATGTACAGCACTTGCAGTGAGCCCGGTCAATGAAAATCTACAAGAAACCACGTCTGCCGAGCACGAGATATCATCAAATGTGCGCTCATTGCAGCTAATAGCAGAGCCGGCAAGTCCGGCGTCTTGATACATGCATTTACCAACCAAAATTTCTCATGTCATGCTTCTGACGAAGTCTGCTTTCCGCTCCAAAACGGATCTGAGAATGCACATCCAAACATTTTTTTTAATGGTTGGCCCCTTGAACAGGATGTTCAACCTCCTGTCGATCTTAGCTCGCCTTGCCCTCTTCTTTGCGTTCTGTTCTAGTAACGTCCTCGCGGTATCGAGTGTCAACAGCGCTAGATGTTTTTCGCCGAGGCTCACTGTACAAGACCGAATCTCTTCCCACTTCTTTTCTTCTCTGTTGCTGGCAAACCATACTCCGGCGTTGATGTCACATAATTAGCTCTAATAGACAAGTTCTGAAGTGTCTCAAAATTCGAGAGATGAAAGGCAGTCACAACGCCACGTGGGAACAACGACGTCTATGCATCGCCGGTGGCTCAATTTCATGCGGTGGGTAAGTGGGAAGCCGTGTTTGGTGGTCCTCTGTCTCTAATCCTTCCGTTATGTGGTGAGAATCGCAGAGCCGGCGAAATTTCACAGCGAAAACCGTGCGTCATCATGTTCCGTTCGACCGCGCGTAATTCGGACGCTAGGTCATACGGCGAGCCGGTTGATGACTGTCATACTCCTTCCCGACAGCCGACTCTTGAGCATTTTATTTACGATTCTCGCAACGCACATTAGGCAGCCTAGCGGGTCATGGGTCAATGTTTGAACTCAAAATGACAGAAAGGCATGCGATTGGATCATTGACGAAGCTTCTGCTTCTTCCTCGGGTGAAAAATCGGGGATTGGAATGAATGTGGGTCGTTGTCTTTTCTACAACTTTGTCCAATTAGCTTCTTGGTATCTCCTCGATCCAATGGCTGTGCGTAGATCGAGTCTCCGCACCGACTGTGCACATTTTTCTGTCATTAATATGATGTGCTCCGTGCCGGGTAAAAGTGTGGACTTCAGACCGCTCAAGGGTTTCAAATTGCTTGAGGTCGGCCTTCCAAAAAGTGAGGGTAAACACCTCCTGGTCAGATACATGGCCATGGTAATGGCATTTAAAACCAATCGGGCTAATTCAGTCGAGAAAGACACTGCAGTGAATTTCATGTGCTCCACGTCGTGCTTCAGGGTGGTCCAGATGTTCTCCAGACCGTTGCGACGTACGAAGGGTCAGGATGAGGGCAACGCATGATGGGTCTTCAAGAGCGTTTCATAGCCATTTTTGTGGCTCAGTTGTTAGAATGAAGTTTCATTGACATGTATAATCATACGCTATTTGGTCCCGAGTTTCCCGCACAGCACTACGCCTCTGAGCTAACTTTGATGGCGAGAGAACGAATAACCCGGTCAATTCTACCGAGAAAACTGCTTACCCAGTGATCGGGGGGCTTTATCTCCCCGCTAAGTGTCTTGCATCTAATCAAGTCTCGCCTTTTGCTTTAGCGACACTTCCTAATTCTTGCTGATTGGAATGGGATCATCTGGAACCGTAGCGTCGGAAATAGACACAATGAAGGAGACGAGGACGGAATTCCAGACATCGGGCTGAATGACTCTGCGTTACCTGACGAGCAAAGAGGTGCATGGAGGAGTGACGAGCCTTTCTTTTGATGTGGACGACAAGATGCGTCAGCAACTGCAGCCAATTTGCTAGTCCCCGCTCCCGTCGGGCCTGATCATCCGGATCTACCGATCTGGCTGACAAAACCTGCGAGCTCTGACTCTCAACTCTGCTCACGCCCACACTATCCCCGCATCAGGAGTCAGCCAACGTTCAGCCGACCGTCGGCTTGTGCCGAATTCTGACGTTCGACATCATTGGCATTCTCAGTGAAGCGTTATGCAAGGGATTGAGAGCCATGCATAGCCCCTCTAATTTATCCATGCTCAATAGAGAAATGTGCGCCAGCGACGGGTGTCAATGCTATTGCTGCACGTCCGTCTCGTTGACAAACCGGACGCTGGCGCGGAATGCCGGGTTCAGATAAAGTTCACAAGTGGTTCAAAGCGAGCTGTGTCATGTGAAAACCCATGATTGCAATACGCCGATCTACGCAAGAACAGATCATGTTGGAGGTAATATCCTGGGGAGATTTGCGTGGGGATCGCTAGCGCAGCAAAGCGGTGTCGAGATGACTAGGCCTCAAATTTCTTTTCTCCTGCAAAATTCAGCCGCGAAGCCGCTTCCCCGAAGGTCAGTAGGCCCGCTTAACCATTGCCTCAAACTTTCGCCTCTTCCTAATCTGTCATGGCGACCCGTGTGTCCCGTTGCCTGTGCCGATCTAGCGCGTGGTCTGGGAATGGGACTCGAGGTTTACGGTCTAGACTTTTGGAATACCTGATTGCAGAATCAGGAATCAAGAATGTCACATTGTCGCGCGAAAAAAGTTTGATTGTGGTCTCATCCGTCCACTTCGATGTTCGCCTGTACTGGTTCTTACAGTACGGGAAAAAAGGACAACGACCACCGCATGGAAAAGAAGGTCCGGATGAATCGATCACCGACTGTTCGCTACTCAGTGTTCACAGTTACTCGTGCGATTTTGACACCTGTGGTCTTTTTATATCGAAAATCTGTCGATTGTGCTTACAGTGGCAGGTTTGGGGCGCGGGTGAATTCTTGCCACCATGGTAAAGACCTGTTTGTGTCTCCAAATATATCTGTAAGCCCACCCCTTTCGAGGAGATTACAGCGTTGTCGCGACTGGACTGCCATCAAGCGAGCAAGTTCATGGCTTACCGCAGTTAGGCAGATCACCGATCGCGAGTGAAACTATGGTTGTCCCGGCTAGGCTGACTTATCACCGAGTCCATTGCCGCAGAAAAAAAGGATTCTTCGGTCAAAACGAATATAAAAGGCGCGTCTGACGAGCGAGCATCTCCAAGCCAGCCCCTCAAATTAAAATGCTCAACAGCCTCTCAATCTTCACTCGCCTTGCCGTCGTCTTTGCTTTCTGTTCCGTCACCGTTCTCGCCGTTGTGAGTGTCGTTGCGGGTCAACCCGTACTGCGATGCTCACTGATTTGTTTTTTTTTGCAGACGGACGCTGCTCCAACTTCGCCCACCCAAAATCCTGTCCTCCGGACATTGACCGCACACACCATGCAGCTCGTGGAAGTGACTACGCCGGTGTCCTATGATGAAGTCACCGCGCGCCTGTACGCGCTTCTGGGCCCATTGAATTCTGCGGACGTTCTTCACGGCGCCACCTCTGTTGCTGATCTTCAGGAAAGAGTCGGGGCCGTGCTAGGTTCCAGTGGATTTATGTACGACATCTTTCCTTTTTTTTGCGTGGTTTACCGGGCCGCCGCTGACCTGCCTGTGATCCAGGCACTTCATCGAATTCGACCACGGCGCCTGGCATCAACTTTTCTACTCGACTCCTACTCCGCGATTCAAGATCTACGTCTTTGGCAATCCTCTCATTGCTGAAACGATGGTCCAATTCGACCTCCGTGCCGGATACAACGTGCCACCCCGTCTGATGATCATAGAGAACGGGAATGGAACGAAGATTGTCCACCATCTTTTGTCTTCCGTCATTGATATGTCGGGGCCGGCCAACCTGACGGTGGCCGCCGCGGCTTTGGATTCACGATTTGCGGCCTTCGTGAACAACATAACAGCTGCTGTGTGATATGAAGGTAAGCCAACAACAATTTTTCCTTCCTCGCCAGAAGAATTCAACCCGAATCATAGCAACAGTGTGATAGATCCTTAGTAAATCATCGAGCTTCCAAAATTCCAACTTCCATTCTGTCGACGCTTCTCTAGAACTCGTGTTTTTGTGTCAATTCTTATTTGGTTTTTCACTGCATTTGGTTTTTCATTGAAGAATCGGATCTTGATTGTCTTATCCAATTGACCAAAACTGCAGGTTTAGACAGAAGCTACTCTGTTTGATATTTTTACATGCACCACCTGAATCTATATGAAGGACAAGTAGACTCTGTTGGGCACAGAGTAAGTCAACAACTAATTTGTGTGTCTAGAGAAGAAGTAGACCTCGAGGTATTCATAATCAGAAGTGAATATTAGGATAAAAATGAATGTACTTCAGCTGGTCACATAGCCAGTAAACAACTTAGGGGTAGGAAATTTCACTAGGAACTACAGTCACAGCAAAATTACATGCCCCACTCTAATTCGGTCGCTATTTCATGGGGAAAAGAAACTGGCTCATCCATTTCAACCAATAAGCAATATACTTTATTATATACAACTGATAGTAACTACCTAGATTTTCTACGCTATAATTTAGGCTATGAGTGGCAACTAATGGAGCCAAAAGAAAATTTGTGAGGGGATTATGGTTGCCCCCACATCTGCCCAACCCCCACCTGCCCAGCACCATTGAGATAACTTTTGAATGCCCCAAAAAGATACTTCTTGGAGTACAATTGTGGGAATTGAAGCCAGCACACACATCCAAAAGGAGATATGTCATTGGAATGTTCCGGTGACTGATTGAATTGATTGTGTTGATCAGTTACTATATTGGGAGACGGACGCAGTCTCATTGTACCGTACATTGTCATGTTTACAGAATCTGTTTTTGCTGCTTCACTCATCTCATGTTGTTCTCTACGTTCTCGTTGAGTACCCTGGCCGATGCTCCCACAACTGGTGCCCCCAAACTCCAGCGATCAAGCAAGGGGGCCCTTGTACTGCCCAAATCAGGGCTCGACCCACGCAGTCTGAATTCAGAAATTCACATCACACATTTGGCATATAACAGTGAGCAGAGGGAACAAGTAAGCATGCTGTACGCCCTGTACCGGACCTCCCCAGGCCAAACACCCCTCACCGATCACATCTTCGATGGCAAGAGTTTAGATGACCAAATACGCGCTGCAGACATTCTTGAAACAACCGGATTGGATGCTAATGCATACCAGAGCTTGTCAAATCGATGGTCACTCCGCTGGAGTCGTGCAACTGGATCAACAATCAAGACGTGTCGCATTCTGTATCAATGCACGTTGGGATATGATCATACGCAGCGATCCACAAAAGCAGCCAATGAAGTCAAGAGAACCATACCAACAAAATACACTGGGTGCCTTGCTCATGTCAAGCTGACGGTGCGCACATTTGTCACAGGTGATCATATTCTACGGATCCGTGGTCACTTGCAACATAATCAGGAATGTTCGAACAGCCCATTTGAGCGCAAACCTTGTATCCCTCTCCATCCTGATGTGTTTGAGGTTGCTTTGAAGCAGTTGAATGACGGCTCAACTATTGCCGATATCAGACGCAAGAACCTCGAGATGTGCAAAGCGGCAGCTTACCAACACTTCCCTACCAATCTACAATCCTCTCCCTTCCGATGGGTCTTTCAGGCCTCAGATTCTTGCTCTTTATATTGCAAACATCATCGCACAAAGGGTGTCGCTGTTATTGAGGCACCCAAGATGAACATCAACAACTGGCTTGATCCCGACTCGGAAAACTATGATGGTCAACTTGCTAAATCCATCTTCCACTACTCAGCCCGTTCTGCGCTAGGAGACCGTTTCGAGGTCTGCATTGCTACACAGGAAATGAATGAGGCAGCATGGCAGTACGGACACAAGAAGCAGATCATCCTCGATGGTACCTTTGGTATATGCGACAAGCAGCTGCTTCTGTTCATTGTGATGGTTGTGGACCATGATAAAAAGGGTGTTCCTGTCGCATTCATGATGTTCTCTGCCCCAGCCGGTAATCTCTAGTTGTATCTCACTCAAAGCAGAGAAACTAACAATCATCTTCAGGTAATAAGCAGTCATCATTGGGATATGACAGTGAGATACTCACTAAGCTCCTACACACATGGAGAGACTCGCTGAATGCTAAAAAGCCCCCTGGTGCCTCCTTATTCACTCCCGTATCTGCAATCACCGATACAGACCTGAAGGAGCGTGCAGCACTTGCGGCAGTCTTTAGCGGCATCTTCTTGCTGATCTGTCGTTTTCACCTACGGCAGTCATGGAGAAACCATCGCAACAGAGTACTGAAGGGAAAGCGTACAGAATGGATGGATTTGAAGAAGCGAATGATGACACTTGAGGCGGCGCTACCAAAGACAGAGCAGCTTGTTGATGCTCGGGGTCTGATTCTACACGAGCGCAGACTCCTCGAGGCCGCTCTAGAAGAGTCTCCAGAATCCTCGCATGCAATCTCAAAAGCAATTACACACCTGGATTATCTTGACAACTACTGGCTATCCGAGAACCTCTGGGAAAGTTGGTCTAATCACAACCGCCGCGCCGTAGCAAACATCTTGCTATGCAAGATCGAAGGTGTGATACCTACAACCAATCATCTGGAATCGTTCAACGGAGTCCTGAAGCAAACACACCTAAAGCACTGGCAGCACAGTGGCCGCCGTTTGCGTGTTGATGTTCTTCTCAATGTGTTGGTCCTCCACATCCTTCCCTCGATCTTCGAACAAAGGCAGATGTACAAGGATCAAAATAACCACATTGCAGCCCTCATCCAACTGCTCCCAGGTGGGGCTTCTCTCCTAGAGGACGATGAGCCTCCTCAATCAGGATTTTGTGCGCCAAAAGTAGCATACCTGACTCCCGATGTGCAACGCAATGTCGAAGCACAGGCTCTGTTGGATGCAGGTCAAGTGGATGCCCCAACCGCGCTGCCAGGAAATGTTGGACTGCTTCTTGCCTGCTACTCCTCCCACTCGCTTTCCGTTGAAAAGAATCCCACTATTTACAGCGTCCGGGTCGGCTTCAATGGAGTCGTTTCCTGTTCGTGTCTCGATTTCAGCTCCCAAGGGGGTGCCTGTAAACATATACGGGCTGCACTGCTTTTGATCGCAGAACTTTGCAGCACAAGGGGGATGTCTATCCCAAATATCCCTATCCCAAAATCAGCCAACGATGCGCTCATTCTGCAACAAAGAGAAGTCCTTATGATCAAGATTCGGTTGCCCATAGCATGGGCTGTCAAAGAAGTTGAACGGCTCTCTGGAGGCTCCAGAGGAGATGTCAGCACGGAGGAAAATGAGGAGGAGGATGAAAACAATGACAACACTCGTAGCGTGGGGACTAATGAATCTTCGGATTCCGAGATCGAGCACAGCCTAGATTGGGACTCCAATTTTGACTCTCCCCGTGCGACACAAAATCAGAGGGCACTGAGTGAGCAGAGGTTGGCGAAGAGCCTGTACAGTCTGGATGCTGTTGGGAAGAGTAGCCTCGAGGTCATCTGTCACAAACTGGCCAGTTGTGTGACAGGTGCTAGTGCGGGTCAACTTGAGATGATACACCAGAATCTAACCTGACTCGATGACCTTGCTGTTCAGTTGAGGAGACTGTCGCAGTTGCCTGGAGTCGAAAACATCGAGAAATCGATAGTAGGGCAGCCCGAAAACAATTCCGCATCTTCAACGCTTCCGTCGAGTGGTCGGAAACGGAAGGGGACAGATCACATGGTGCTCCCAATATCACCCGAGAAAAAACAAAGACGAAAGGAGTCGCATGGGTTTCATTAAGAGTATTAGCTTCTTATTATCAACTCAAAATAATTATACTTCTTGTCTGCTCAAGACATTCCCACAAACAATTATTTGACTCAGTTACAATGAGCAGGAAATGGCATCAGCCACATCAGTCTTCGCAAAGACGGCCAAAATGCCGGTGATAGGCTGGCTACCAGACGCGCTCTGCACCAGCTCTGTAAGGGCGTATTTTTGCGCTTTTTACAGAGTTTACTCTTGAACCATTCGGTGTATCGTGTCGCGGTTGACAGTGTTGCGCTCAGTAGGACTTATGGGTCTACTGCCCAGTCGACGACTGTGGATAGTGTCGACAATAGCAAGGCAGTCAGACCACTACTGTGGAACTGGTCTTATGAGTCTACACCAGGCTCAGGGCCATTAGTGACGAACGCTTGGACCGCGACCATTCCCCAAAAAAGGGATCTGTCGTTGCGTCGACTTCTCAAAAAGGGTCATTCTCTGCAGATGGGAACTTGGGCTGAAGGGCTGAGCAAGGCGCGACGTCCTCAATAATAGAACTACTACTGGACAGGACTTGGCGTTACGAGACTTAAACCATCTTGTCGCGGCAACTCCCGGTTTTGGGTTGGACGTTTCCTCAGATCATGCCACGACGACGACTTGTCACATGTCAGGATCCATTCGATCACGGGACACTGTGGACGCGTCGCGGTGACACTTCCAAGTGTCACGGCGAGTCGCGCCATACCCAAACACACTAGAAACCGACACGGCTAGATCCGTGAACCGAACCATGTGGGGGACGACTGGCGTGCCTAGGGCCATACGGCTTCTTGGGGCGCCCACGTTGGTCTCACATGCCAAGACATACCCGTTGGCCAATCCAGCACATCGTATTCCAAAAGTATGACGCGGTGAGTTGGCCCACATCAAAAGTATCATATGGACAATGGGGCGGGGTCCTGATCACTCAGGACCTGTCCGATCGTTCAACTTTCAATTACCCTAAAAGGCAACCGATCTTAGATAGCGTAGCTACTATGCAGTTGTACAGGACTTTACTAAGCATCCTCGTAGACAGTATAAGTAGCACGACGTTTCTTTGTATTAAAAAGCTTTCCCCCGGACTGTGAATCACTCTCATTTCAGATTGTTTTGTACAATTTGCGTGCCGCGTGATTCCACCCTAAGAAGTTCTGCTACCCCTGCCCGGTCGCGACGAGTTGCTCCCTGAGCACTTGTAGCTACTGTGATTTGAGTTTGAGTTGAGACATCAGAAAGTCGGATTCGCCGCATCTGGTTTAGTCGCGGCATTTAGTGTCGTCGCCTTCGGGCTTTGTTGAGATCGTTCCACACCTCTAGCTTGGCAGTGCGTCGACTAGTTGTGCTCGGGTTGTTTTGGTCAGTTGGCAGTGCGTCGACTTGAGAACTTTGGTTCCACACTTCTTGCTTGGCAGTGCGTCGACAAGTTGTGCTCGGGTTTTGGACATTGGATATTGGCTGTTAGTTGGCAGTGCGTCGACTTGACATTTTGGTTCTACTAGTTGGCAGTGCGTCGACTCAGTATATTGGTTGTATCGGTTGGCAGTGCGTCGACTTGATATTTGGGCTTTGCGTCGCCATCTAGACGCTGTCGCTACAAGGGATCTTAATACTTCGTATTAAGCTCTGACTTGTTATATCGTTGGTTGTGGATTGTATTAGTGTTGGTTGTGCTTGTATAGAAGATATTGGTTGAGATACCATTGTTTGCTATATATATATCCCTGTCGTCGACTCCGTCTCCGCGACTATTGGATCTGCGTCTATTGAGAGTTGTGATACTGGTGCTCTGTCCACCCCGAAGCCCTCGCATCTTTCACACACTGAGAAGCTGATTACGAGGAGTGTGAACGTGTTTATATTTGGGTTTACTTTCATAGTAGATTCACTTGTGAGCACGCCCTCAGCATTTCATCTGGAGCCCACCGCGAGGGGCTTCTAAAAAGTTTCATAAACTTTAAAAATCAATAAACCGGATTCTTTACCGCGACGTTGGATAGAGACCAAGGGTTTATCCCGCGAAGCAGTTTATTTCGATCCCAAGCTCCTGCGCGACCTCTCGAGGACCAAGCGGAGATTGAGACTGAAGGAAACGCTTCAACCTCAGGACCTTTCGAAAAACCACGAAGGTCTGCAAGACATAAAACACCTTTGTATCTACCACCCTTGCCTTCCAAGGCAAAAGGAAAACAAAGAGTGAATTCGACGTCGAAGCTTCCAGCTTTAGACGCGGCTGCTTCGAGTTCGACAACAATCAGTCGATCTCAGACTAGCTCACAAACTCTCTCAGAATTGTCTAGTAGCGTCACCGCTACAAACACGAATTCTAACAACATCCCTACTTCCCCTGTAACTTCAGTCGCGACAACTATGGCTCCAAAGACTGGGTTCAAAATCCCTCAACCTTGGGACACAAGTAGACCTATACTTGATGAAAAGGATCCCCTGTCGATTGAGGCATATTTGCGTCACTGCGCGCAGATCGTGGAGGATGGGGGCATCACAGATGTCAAACAAGCAAAAAGCATGTACATTCGTTATTTGCCGTCGCGGCAAGTGATGGACGTATGGGAAGGTCTCGATACCTATTCCGATGACACGAAAACTGTCGCGGAGTTCGAGGCCGAAATCTTAAAAGGATACCCTGAGGTGTCCAAGCGAAAAACGGGGACCATGGCAGATCTAGACAGACTCTGTCGCGAGAACCGTGGAATCAAAATCACGGATGAGGGCGATTTGAAGCGTTTCGGCCTTCAAATGTACAGTCACTACAAGCGACTGTCAGTCCCTCCTGCCATTATTACCAACAAAGTCGCGTGTGAACGCTACATGCGTACTTTGGACTCTGAGTTCAGTACCGTCTTGAGGAATGCTTTGGCTACAAGTCAGGTATTCAATAAGCGCTACCAAACTCGTGCCGGGATAGCAAACGCTAATGTCCCCGCGACTGGAGTCAACCGGCAGGACGACCCCATCCAGTTGAAAGAATTAATGACGATGGCGGAAGAAATGGCGTCGACGTTGAGCAACAAAGACGAAATTCCCATAATCGCACGGCCTCCCAAGGTTCGTTTCGACTATGAGACCAGTCCACCCAACCATGCTAAGGTTGAGGAGTTGGAAAACTCGATTTCCAACTTGAAGGACTCATTTCTTCTACACCAAAAAGAGCTACAGACTCAGTTGCAGGAAGCGCTGAAGACGTTCGTACAGACTGCTCGCGAAGCGCCCATACAGCGGTCGCGGCCAGTAGGCAACAACTCTTCTGTGCCCCACTTTGAAAGTCGCGCACAAGGAGGAGCTGCCGCACGGAACGACGACTGTCGCTACTGTGGACAAACTGGTCATTGGTCGAACGAGTGCCCACTCAAGAGGTCTCACATTGAGAAAAACCTTCTCAAAGTCGACACCAAAGGGATGTGGAGGCTCTTCGACGACAGTTTCCTACCAAATGGAGAAGGGACTCAGGGACAACGAGTAGAGGCTTATTGGAAGAAGAAGGGCAAATCCGTCAACTTCCAGGACTCCTACTACTTGGATCAGTTCGATAGCCGCGACAATGATGATATGTCCGACTACCCTAAAGAAGTGGCAGATGAGATACGCTCCCTTCGAAGTCAACTCATCCAATACGAGAGGAAGTCGTTGCGGCCAACCCCAGAGAGTCGCGCTGAGCCAAAGACTCAAAGAACTGCATCTGGTTCGACCAGTAATGTAATGGAAAGTGCCATGGGCCAATTCATGCAGAAAGCCATGACCGACGCCATGGCCGGCTACTTCAACAACATGAACAGTGGTTATCCTCAGACTCAGGAGCAGTTCATTCAAACCCGTCGTGGTGCGAATAGCCAACCTGAGCGCGACGATAACAACTCGGGTTTCTAAATGGTTCAAGGAAGGGGGCTAAACCCACAAACTCAGCCAAGCCCTCTGAGGACCATGATAAACGAGCTGAGCGACGAGAGAAACCGAGAAAACCTGTGACTATTGAAGAGGTTAGTGACAGCGACGATGATGAGGAATCAGTGCGCGACAACACCGAAAAGAGAAAGGAACTACTGTTTGAGAAAGTCAAGCCCGTTCTACAAGAACCAGTACATTCTTCAAAAGCGCACGTTCCAGATAAATACCAGTTGCGTGCACCGATTCAAAAGAAGGCTGTGGCAGAAGCAGTCTACGACAAAATGAAAAACGCGTCAGTCGACGTCACTGTGGGTGAACTCCTAGCAGTTTCGGGGACTGTCCGCGACTCCATTCTGAAGGACTCTTCGAAGAAACGAGTCCCGGTCCAGAAGTCCATGCTTCAAGAAACTGGTCACGTCGTTGAGGACGTTTGGGATGGAGAACTGAGCTACAACCTAGTCAGTGCTAAGGAATTGCCCGAGCCTGTGTTCTATCATAACACAGTTGAAGGAGAAATTCCCATTGGCGCAGTTGTCGCGACGGATCCATATGAGATGTACTTGGAGTCGATACCCTCTAATGAGAACCCAAGACATGTCTATGTTGGTGATTCGTCGGCTGCTCTCAGAACGATAAACGGACGGATTAACGCGCGTCTCGACGCGGACTGCATCCTAGACAGTGGATCTCAGATTGTCTCGATGGCTTTCTCAGAAGCCGTCGACGCACAATTAAGCTGGGACCCAAAAGTCGTCATCTATATGGAAAGCGCAAATGGATCTATCTCTAAGTCACTGGGATTAGCGAGAAATGTACCCTTCAGGTTTGGGACCATCTTGGTCTACCTGCAGGTGCACATTTTGGAAAGTCCAGCTTAT